TTGCATTTTATGACCGGTGCCAGCCTTCGGCTAGGCCCCGGTAATAATTGGTACGTTTGGTCAAGAGATGAAAATAGATGTAAAAGATACATAAATTTAGCCTTTAGTCAATGATCTCTTTGAGAGATGGTTTGGCCCTACCGTGGATTTCTCAGAAACTGCTGTGTTTTAAATTACATTTACACCTAAATAGCTAAAATATAAAAGGTTTAATTTGATAATAACAATTTTCTGAAAAGGGATAGTCTTGAGTCTTTTGTTAAACGTTTAAGTTGTCAGAACATCTAATTTCTAGTCACATTGAATTTTTTGTTTCAAAGGATGAGCTACACTATTGACATTCAAGAAGGTCCTGAAGAGAGCTTTCCTCTTGTTGGACAAACTCCGGAGCAAAGTGACCATTGTTATAGCCCAAGTGGCTCATTTGGTCTGCATCTTCTTCAACCTGATGGCCACCGCTCAGACCAAGAACAACAAGCGCAACAGATGGCAGGTTATGGTACAGGAAGTCAAACTTCCCCCACACCCATAGGTGTCGCATTTTCCGGGGGAGGTATTCGATCAGCAGCATTTTGCTCAGGTGTACTGCGTTGGATACTGAAAGATGATAATCTTAAATTGGATTATCTGAGCTGTGTGTCCGGGGGAGGTTACACGGGAGCAGCATTTCTCAGCTGGATGCACCGTAAAGGTACGGATACTAAAGAGTGGCAAGATGAATTCTTTAAAAAAATGCATCAGAACGCTGGATATCTCTGCAACTTTCAAAAGCCTCGCTCTGCAATCCTTGACCCAGCCTTTTTCATATTTTTTTTTTATCGTTACTGTGTTGGTTTTGCCGTGTTTGCTCTGGTTTCCCTACGCATTTCCGGTGGCCGAAGCAGTTGACTTCTTGTGTGGAGACATCTTGCGTGAGAGCAGTAGCTGTGATGAGCCCGGCAATCAACCAACTGTTGATCCAAAGAAGTCAAAAACCTCCTACCTCTTGATGGAACTGTACGGTAACTGTAGCCCAACATCAAGACGTATCACCCTCTTCACCACAACGTTTCTTTTGTCCTTAATTTTGTACATCATTTCAAGGTCAAGATGTAAATTCTCCCGCCGTTTTAAAGGCCTCTTAAGATTGTTTTCAATCGTCATTGGTTTGTTCTTTGCCTTTACCTTTCTCCCATGGATAACTTATGACTTTCTTTGGCCTATACAAGTCTGGATTCAAGTTGTAGTATTCTTCATTTGCCTTGTACTTCCTTTCTTTTTCCCTATTATTCGTAACTATGCAGGCCTTTTCCTTTTTTTTTATGTTTATGTGTTCATTGTGAGCTGGAAGGTGTTTAAGATAGAGCTGTTGGGCAAGTTTCCTTATTCGGATGCTCTTTTCTATCTACTGTTGGTTATATGTTGCGCGTTGATCGTGCTTTTCCCAATTCTGGCCACTATGCACCGTGCTCTGTTCAACGCTTACTACAGGTTAGTAAAACCTACCGACAAATAGTTTGTTAAATTCTCAAGATAGAAAATGATTAGATAAAAAGAGCTGAAAAAAATTCAGAAATTTATAGAATTGGCATGACTCTACTGATTTCCGAGTAGTTATAACCAACAATAAGCGAAATGTTAAGGGAAAACTTGGTCATGTAGTTTCACGTGGTACAAAGTCACGTTCGCTGTTTGCCGTAAATGTGACTCTTTTGAGACCCTAAGATCGAGGTTTGGCCATCTTATCTTTTTCATGTGATCCGTCTGCACATGTTTGGCACGTAAGATTCGCGAGTATAGCTCGCGCCGGCCTTGTTTGTTTTCATTGATTTGTTCGCTTCTACTGATTTTCGCTGAGAAATCGTCTTCAAAATTACATTTCGACGAAATAGAATTTTACACATTGTAAATAACAAAAAAAAGAGTGCTAAAAAGTCTCTCATGTGGATTTGTGATGTTTTAGGGTGCGAAAGAACCTTCCTAAAAATCACTTACCTCTAGAGAATGGTCTAGAGCTGTATAAACGTGAACCTCAAACCGCAAAGGACGCTTTTAAGGATATCTGCATAGCGTACGACCCATTCAGTATTACATAGACGTTTACACAGACATTAATTCAGTGAAGTTTAAGTCAAACTAAATTAAAAACCCTCGTCCACGTAGCCTGCGAACGCAAACTTATCTCCCTGGGCCCGGTTCCTGAAGTATTGATTAGCGTTAATCGAGGATGAAAATTTTGTTCCGTTTTTGTATTCTACATTCCTATGCATTGCTTAGGGTAACATTTTGTGTTATTATTACTGTATCTCGTAGTAAAGACTGAACAGTATATTGTAACCTCGAGTTGCAGGTTCTTAGACGAGAAAACCATGCTTGAAATTTGGCTTAATCCTTGGTTAAACTTAACCATCTTTCGAGGAACCGGGCCTGATCTCTGGTCGTCGCTTCTCTCCACCCGAAAAGTAACCTACTCTTCAAGGGGAGAAAAGCGGTGGAAGTACATGTGCGTTCGTAGAGTCCTGTCTACCAGATTTGTATTGGGATCAGGGGCGGATCCAGGATTTTTTTTAGGAGGGGGTGCACTCGACTCTTGCTCTACTTCAACACCAATATACCACAGTTTTTTTTTTTTTTCAGAATACCAGTTGTATTAGAAAACCGCAGGTCATCTCAGGGGGGGGGGGGGGGGTGTCAACCCCTGCCCCCGCCCACCTAAACCTCCCGGGGGGGTTCAAGCAGTCAATTTATTTCGAGCGGGGCGGTTGGCCGCTCATGTTTTATCTTCGTCAACATAACACGACGTGTTTTTTTTTTTTGAAGGAGAAACGGTTTGAGCAAAAAGCGAGGGGCTCTAGGGGGGGGGGGGGGGGGTGCGAAGCCCCTGCACCCTCCCCCTAGATCCGCCCCTGGGGATTCATCTTGTTCCCAGGGCAGTCAAATTAACTAAGCCGGTACTTACTGATCCCTTTCTTTTTAGCAGGGCGTTAAAGTCTCATTCTTTGAATGTACTCGGTCCCGTTCAAATAAATCTGTCTTAAGTTAGCGTTTTTAAATTAAATGTAAAACGACTAGTCGACTTCCTATTATGGGTTTAGGTCGTTTAGCGTTGGTGTCAAGAAACTCAGGCTGTGTTTATTTAGGTCGCCACTTACTTGAAGGAGCATCTAAAAAATCTGCCCCTCATATGTAAAAAAAGGTTTTTGGCTGTCAAGGTGTAATATATCAAACATGAGACGCAGTGTTTCATCACCAGATGAAACACCGGGAAGAGAGTTGAAAATACGACGCGCAGCGGAGTGATTTTTGACGAACATCGAGGTGTTTCATCTGGTGATGAAGCACTGTATCATTTGAAATGATTTTAGAGGGATAAATGAAGGATACAAAATTGGGCAGTTTTTCATCTGATTTTCAAACACTCATTAAACATTTCCTTTGTATTTTCGTTATGAATTGTTAATAAGTTTAAGAGGTTAAAATCAAGCACCTGTCGACAACATCTCGCGCGTACACCCTGCGCGTGCGCCTGTGGTTATCGATATAAACACAAGTTATAATAGTCCGCTTATTTCTTTGCTGCAGGTGGTCACTATCCAAAGCCTTTTTCGAAGATCCAGAAGGTTTCCCGTGGAAAGATGTGTTTCCTTTTTGCTGGGTCGTGTGCGAAAGCTTGCGTAGTTGGATTGGGAAGTTTAAAAAGAGCCCTCGGCAGCACGACATGGACGAAGAAGAACCTCCCGTGGACAAAAAAGAAATTTATTTGAGTGATCTAAGCAATATTCAACCCAAATTTATCAGCAACATCACTGTGAATGATTGGCAAATAGGCAGCAGACAAGGTCCTTGTCACCACCTCATAGCATTTTCGACAGAAGATGTAAAAGTTATTGGCAAGTATGTGGATGAGGAAGGGAAAAGTGTCAAGCCTGAATCTTTGTCCGATCTGAATAATCGTGATTGTGTACAGCTGTTTAAGCCCGAACATATGCCTTTGTCTCAGGCAATGGCCATATCAGGTGCTGCATTAAGCTTTGACATGGGGAGCTATGAAACCAGTCTAGATATGATATTGGATCTCTTGTCTTTGTTGGGGCTTGGAATGGGAGCAGAATTGCCTAGTGACCAGGTGAACCTCAAAGAAAAGCCATTTCGCGAAGCTTGCAAACAGGTATGTACACTGTTAATTTTTGACACTTTAGGGCTGAAACATTTTTTTGTGTGTCAGTAATACAGCCCTGCAGGCCAAAGACTGAATAAGCCTCTCTTGGAGCCATTTGAGTCCAATAGGCCACTTCCGGGTTCCAAAAACCCTCACTTTCAAAATGAGGCTAGGCGCACAACCTTTCTTGTGAAAATGAGTTTTATTTCAAAAGGCTGAGCACCTACCCTCGTTTTGAAACAGAGGCTCGGGGGAAATCGGAAATGGCCTATTTAAGCCAAAACAGCCTCATCATATACCTATTCCAGCCAACGCTGTAGACAGACACTGGGACTCATTTCATCCCGTGTGTCCAAGTCAGCCCTAGGTACAGCGGAACCTCGATGTAACAAAGGGGCAAGAGACTGGCAAAATTTGTTCGCAATAACGAGGTTTCGTTTTATCGAGATTGTTTTTCATCTGTTTTTGTTCGTTATAATGAGGTTCCATTGTTATTGAACTGTATTGTCCTGATTTAGGGACCCAAATTAAGCCCCCCAAAGGAGAACTGTATTTCACTCACCAAAACGGTCCCAATTTTTAGGATCAAAAAAGATATTTTTGATTTGAAGTGCATGTTTCGGGCACCTAGATTCCCGTTTAACTTACTGTTCTTCAGCACAGATTGCGATAAAGGAAATGACAACCTAAAAGAGCCTCCCCCCTCTCCCTTAGGGTGTGTTCTCGGAAAAATATGGGTGAAGTAGCATGCTTTTTCCGACCCCCTATTTCAGTTTTTTAAAAAAAAAACATGCGATTTTCTCTACCCCGGAGCATGCACACTCTGATACACGTTCCCGCCGCAACTCGGCAGATCTTGTGTCAACATTATCTTTACATTTTGAGAGCCGCACGCTTCTTACACAAAAGTTGCGTCTTCTAAAATCCTAGCCTGCGTAAACAGCCGATACTCCTCGCTCCTCGCCAAAGAGCGAGGAGAAAACGGCTGTTTTCACAGGCTACTAAAATCCATACCCAGTGCGCGACCAAACTGGGCCATAAACAGAGCTCAAAAGCCATACCCTTGTGTACTGCACATTCCCCGCCCTGTGGCTGAAATAATGGAGTGCTCCTCCTTCTTGCCTCCCAGACCACCCGGTCTGACAACATCGCTTTGGCATACAACATTTTCACTAATGTTGTCATTTCGTTTAGTTGAAAAAAAGGACCTTATCTCTTAAAGAAAACTATTTTTGTCGAAGTGGAGAAAGTATACCGCTTTTTAAAACAACTCTGATGGATCTTTTCTCTTGTATTCTGTAGTTCCAGAAAATATCCTTTTTCCCCCCCCCCCCCACGGAGGGCACTTTTGCTTTAGACCCCCCACTCCAGGGGGTGGTTGTCATACCCCGGACCCCCTATGAAATTTCCGTAATTTTCAACTTGCTTGGGTACCCCCTGGAAACAATATTTCCGTCAAAGATTGCTTTTGCACTATATTATTATGCAAAAGATATTTTTTATTCTTGTTAATACAGCCTTTGTCTAATAATCTTAAGGAGTTTCCTAGCTAATAATTAACCATGGAGGCGATACCTGTTACACTTCTGATTACTGACTACTCTATGTATCTATGTCGATGTTTATATCACCTTTTCCTTTAGACTTTTTTGTTCTAGTTAAAAGTCTTGTTTGGTTTAAATGACATGCCCCGCTTAATACAGACACCTCGTTAGTACAGACACTCAGTTCTATGGCCCATTCAGTTTCCTTATTAACGGGGTTTGACTCAGTGTACTTTCAAATTGAGTCAAATGCAAAATAAAAACATAAAAACAACTAAAGAACCAAACAAGGCACGGAAGAACAAATTGAGGAAGGAATAAAGGAGATTAGAAACTGTTTTCCTTTCAGATTTTTCAAGTTTTTTGTTTTCTGTTGTTGGAGACTTATTTGTCACGATTTGTCATTCCGAAGTTATCTCTAGCAAATAAAACTAAAAAACAATTTGACTAAATTTCCATATATATATATAGATAGTCTGCAAGAAACTAACTTTAATTTCTTCTTAATTTTTCTTCTTTTAAAGTTCCTGTTGGAGGTGCTTGTGTTATCTCCTCTCATCGCCATTTTGTTTTGCTACCTTTTGGGAAGCAAAATCAATGTACTAACTGGGTTGATTCTTGTACACATTGGCGTTCTTTTTGTGTTATCTTTCATTGCCGTGCAAGATACTGGATTCCCTGAGGATAAAGGCGGTTGTAATGGAATGTCTAGCATTGTACGGTAAGTAACGAACTCTTTGAGCATGAAGAAAAGCGGTTTTATTTTAAGCTCAGTTATGATGTATCGTCATGTGACAAACGTTGGCTAAGACCTGTTTCAAACGTCGTGCTACTGCCGTGCTAAACTGGCTCGACTGTAACTCGACTGCAGCACGACACTAGCACGACTTGGTTTCAGACGTAGAATTTAATTCAGTCGAATAGAACGGCTGTTGCGGAAAACAAAACACAAAAATAAGGAAACGGTTTAGCAGACTTTTAAATATATTCTAATGTATTTATAATTTGTGAATATTGAGTTCGGCACGGCTGTAGCACGACGTTTGAAACCAAGTCGTGCTACTACTGTCGTGCTAAAGGCGAATTTAATTCGAGCAATTGAGTTCGGCACGGCAGTAGTACGACGTTTGAAACGGGCCTAAGAAAATAACTGCATTCTCGAAAAGAATTCCCGTTACCTATGACCTTCCAAACACCGGCCGGGGCAGGCGCTTTGTCCGATTGAGCTACGATTTAGATCCATAGAGTAAAATAGCCTGTTCCAGGCTCTCAGATAGTAAGCATGAAGCCTAAGTGTAAAGCATGCGAAAATATGAGCGCGTTATCTGGTTTCTTGTTTTATTTTCGTGTTCACGCTTTCTCAATTTCGTGGACCCGACTCAGGCAAGGGCCCTCATAGAGAGAAGGGTTATTTGCCTCTTTCATCAAACGTTTCTCTCTTTTGACATAGACCAGTTTCGAATGGTTAAAATTCACAGTTGGCTCCGGGCTGAGGGGTATACAGTATAAAGGTACAATAAAACGAGGAACAAAGAAAAATGTTACGTGTTTTGCCACCAACGTTCAAACCTGTCGTGCAACAAATTAGGTTGGTGGAAAATGCATGAATACAGACTTCTGATTTGATAAATTATGTGGGAGTCACTCCAATCACGGATCATCGGCCAGTAAAATGTACAACATGAACAGATTTTGTGGCAAAGAGTAGATACTACAACAACTTTTCTCAACCTGCAATAACCTACTTTGTTGCAAGATAGGTTTGAACGTGGGTGTTTTTCAACTCGTTTTGCAGTAATTTCTGTTGCCTGTTTCGCATCGGGATTCATGGGAAAATAATTCGTTTCTTTTGTTTTATTCCTCTCAGCCTCAGGGGTCAAGCATGAGTTCTGATAATTCGAAGCTGGCCTATCAGAGGCTTTCTGCCGGGACTGAACTAGTGTCTATTTTTTGCCTCCCTAAATCACGTGAATGTTTGTGATACTCTGAAATCCCTTCCTCACTCCCCTTGGCGGTCGCACTCCTGATCTGTTGCAAGGTTTGAAGGTGAAACTAGGTAACAGACCTTTTTAGCTTGTACGTTTTGTTTTCCCATTGCAGACCACGTGATGTTACCCAGATAATTGTTTCTTTCTAATGTCGTTCCATGCTCGTGCGTTCACGTACATATGCATAATGCATAAAAAAGACAAAGGCAAATTCCCTTAAGAGCATCACGTGGTCTGAATTGGGAAAAACAAAACATACAACCTAAAAAGGTTTATTTCAAGTTCACTATCGCAGTCTTGCAGTGACGGCAAAGAAATGTACAAAAGAGCGTGATACACGTCCGAAGTTGTTGTTTTGCCGATTCAACTTATTGCTTTTCGACGCTCTTGTTATCGTCGCCGTCGTGTGTTGACACTATATCGGATGATATCGGATAGCTTTTGCACCGCCACGTCAAGAAATTAGCAGGGGGGGAGGGGGTTGGGAACTTTAAATTTGGGTTCGGAAATGAGGTGACCCATGGGAGTGAAATTTGCTAACCCTCCCCTTGAGCTTGGCCTAAAATATCATGACCCTCCCCCTCTTGTATAAGTGATAAAATCTAGTTCTTGCAATACACTAGGTTGTCATTATTATGAAAACTCAAAATATATTTCTAATCTGTTTTTTGTAATGCTATTTACATACATTTTAGATGTCAGCATTAAGAGCCTGACTCTGATTCTGACAGCTGATCACTCAACTCTCCTATTTCTCCCAGGCTTTTTTACCAAGTGAAATAAAGAACTTTCTTTTTCTTCTGTGGGTGAACCTCTACATGATCACGGGCATGTATTTGCATGACCCTTCCCCTTTTAATGGCCCATTTTTCATGACCCCTCCCTTTTCTGGGTCTCAAAAAGTTGTGACCCTCCTTCTGTTTCCTTCCCCCCTCCCCCTGCTAATTTCTGACAAGTCCCTTATGGCGGCACGACTTCTGTGACGGAGCGAAGCTGCGCCTCGCCTATCTCGAAAGCGAAACGTCACATATCGGATAGTTCTTGTGCAATACTTTGTGCAGTGTGAACGCCTATTCGACCTGTTCGCGGAAGTCTATAAGAAGGAGCGAGGACTGGAACCCACTAAAACTGAAGTAAATACTGAGGAGCGAGGACTGGAACCTTCTCGGCCAACCGCGCCGGTACGAATTTGCCGGCACGATGCCACTCTCGTCCCCGGAGCTTCCTGGAGTCCTGAGTACGATTTTAGGACATCCGGTTATTTCTGATTCAAAAGTAAGTTGAAGAATTCTCTTTTAAAAGCTTTAAATCACCTTAATTTACAGTCATTGACACTTCGGCATGAGCAAGTGAACGCTATTAGAAACGTTGTTGAAAATCAGAAATGACAACTTCAGGATTTTAGATCCTGAAGTTTGTTTAGGACACAGGGTTCTCGGAGGTTCAGGAACATGAGTCCGGAGGTCCTTCGAGACCCCCTGCTCTTACCGTGCTACGAGCTACACGCACTTGCTGCACACGAGCTCCAAGGCTCTGCTGTTTGTACTATACCGGCCGGATAGCTTTTCGCGGCGCCATAAAATCTGCTACATGATCAGCGTAAAGTATAGAGCTCTCCACTTACTCAGGTGTCCCTTGCTGCAATTTGTTTTTTGAAAAACAAATAAACTTCCGTCTCTCAAGTTTCCGTGTTTTGTTGTTGTTGTTGTTTTTGCCTTAATCGTACTGGTAAGCATCCTTAAAGTTCAGTGGTAAGCTCGACCAACTGCACTTTCTCGAAGGTTCACGTTGAGTCTATTTCATGTCTCCAACTGATGCTTTCAATCGCCATTTTTAGACTTAAGTTTAACATTGAAAGCGCGGGTTTCGTTTTTCTCGCAGATGGTTGCTTCCTCGACTTTTTTTCGCTGGCTTTCTCCGTGGATTCCTGAACATCAATCACGTGTCCACCAAGCCTCCTCCAGTATTAAGGCTGAGCGATGGAGGTCACTTTGAAAATCTAGCTCTGTTGCCTTTGCTGGAGAAGAAATTAGATCGTATTGTTGTTGTTGATGGTTCCTGTAATCCAGGTGGCGAAAAGTACGCTGATGCACTTCTCCATGCCATTAAGAAAGCAAGGGAAAAACTCCACTGCTCATTTACGCCACTCACCAATGATGAGGAGACTGAAGGTGATGGAACTCGAGATATTGAAGAAGATATCCGTGTCCGTTTCTTGACGAAAAAGAATGGGCGGTTACCAAGGCACTATAGGTTCAAAGTCCACTACTATGATGTAATTGATGTAAATGGGGTCTCAGTTGACATATTCTCTGGAAAAACAGGCGAGATACTCTTCTTAGCACCCAGGCACCCAGAAGAGTGCAATGAGTTTGGTGAGGCCCAGAACGATAAGAATTGGGAAAAATTTGACGTGGAGGAAAAAGAAAACCCCGACCATCCCTGGAGGAGGCCGAGGAAACTGACTAAAGACAAAGCTAATCGACTGACTTGGTGTTGCTGTCGATGTTGCCATGGTGAACTTAAGGAGGGCAGTAAAGACAAGGCCAGCAAACTGGCTTGCTGTGGCTGTAAGTGTGATCGTAAATGCTGTAGTTGTTTCTGTTTCTGTTTCCCTGGTGACATCTGTCATCATATCTCTTCATTTTTTCTGCGGGGAGGTTTCCCTCATCACACCACCGGAAATCAGTTCTTCACCCCCGACATGTTTTCAGCTTACCATTGTGAGGGGCTCGCAGCTTCCATTGAAGCTGCGGGTAAAGCCAAGAAGTTTTTTTAGAAAGTTCGAAGGTGATTACAAGGCCCCAACATTCCAGTCTGCAGATGAAAGCCAAATAGAAGCATAGTGTGATCATTCCATGGTTACCGGTCGTTTGACAAGTCAGTAGTACAGTAAACACCCGCATATAAGAACACGCGATTTCGGAGGTCAGGCTGATGGAGTTCTTATTTATCGGGTGCTTAATGACAAATCACCGTTAAAATGTTCTTAAATTGTTATTTGGTAATACTATCTAAAACATGTTGCTAGAGGTATATTTAGCATATTTTAGGAAAATGAAATAAATAATTATTCTGTAATTTGATTATATTGACAAATGAAGTTATCTGACAGCAAAGATAAACTTACATGTTTTGTAATTATGACACTTTTTCCATTTTAGAAGAACATCTAACAATTTTCAGGCTGCTTTTGTTCTTATAAAAATGGGGCTTTATTGACCAAATTTCCGCCTGGTGTTCTTAATCAATTTGTTCTTATAGTCTATGCGGGTGTTTACTGTACTTATTAGGGCTACTGGTAATTATGTCGTCAAGGTAACCTTCGAGAAAGCAGAGTGTATTTGCAGTGAAGCTTTAGTTTATATTCTGCTTCATTCTCTCTTGCTTTTTGATACTGCAACTAGGAAAGTCATTATAAGGTCAAGTAAGCATTCGTATATTTTTTATATTTGTATGTGAGTTTACTGGTGTAATTTACTGAAGACTAGATGCGACAGCAGAATGAGTGAGGTGCTATTAAGGTTTCAAGAAAAACAGCGAAAGTAGGTCGCCCTTTCTATGTCGTTTAAGTTAGCTTTTAGTGTCATTTATAATCAGTAAAGAAACAGCACTGACTCATAGTATGTGTCGACCGGATTAGTACTAACGTCTTCGTAGCAGCGCCGAGTTCTTTTGTTCTGGGCCTCTGACGGACTCAACGAATTACCTTAAGTACGTTTCAAACTTCCTTACATCCTTATTGGCAATTTGACAATGGCTTTTTGAGTTAACAGGCCAATCATAGCCCGTATTCAAATCCTGGTACACATGTGGGGGCCTAGAACATAGATTTCGGCACTTTTCAGTTCGCAGACGGACTTAATCAGAGCCAATGAAGTCTCTGAGGCTAGGATTGCTGTAGCATATGTCTTAGATGGTAAACTGTAGGATATATAGCGGCGCGTTGTCTCTGTTGTACTTGAGATACATATAACTCGATCCTCGCGATAAAAAATACATATATCTTAGCGATAAAAAATGCAGGTATATATTTTTGGGATTTTTGTATTTTTATAGATCTTTATTTTTGTGAAAAAGTAGTAATAACCTTTTAAATGGTTACATCAATTTTTCCCGTTAACGAAAGCGATATTCCCTACTTGTATTTTGATATAATAAACTTTGCTTTAAAAAAAGGGCCAATAATAATAACGACAGCCAGAACGGCGATTTCGGTTTTTAATTAAGTGGGTACAATCATTTTGCACCCCCGTGTACTTTAGTATTGTTGTGGTTCCAAATGGTGCTTTAGAAGGGGTCCAAACAAGGGGAATCCACGTTTTATACTGACCCAATATTGCAACAAATCTTCAGCAAATCTGCCCAGCTCGCCTATTTTTTCAAATCGGACTGGAGTATGGAGAGAATGCGTTGACGCATGCGTCAAATTAGCGGGTTCATCGTCGTGTAAAATACGGGAAACTGCATGGAAGGTTGTAAATTTCAAGCCGTCTACGCCAACACTCCCGCGATACGAAAAAGCCTTCTTCGAGGTTCCGTGCATGGGAAAATATGTCATTTTATGAAGTGCTTGTTTGCAACAAGGACTGTAGTTAAGATAAAATGAATTAACTGATGATAAACCGCAAACTACCAGTTCTTACCTGTGATATTTAAAGGGTGGTTCGAGGAATTTTTGGTAAGGGCTGGGGAGTCCAAACCTTCATCCTTCTTCGTCGTTCTCATGTTTATGCTACCAAATGACTTTTTTGAGCGATCATTCTGTGGCGATAATTTCAGAACTCATCGGGAGCCCATTACTCGGAGCGAGCATCTCTGATACTATGTTTCACGGACCGGTTTATTTTTTAGACGCATTCAAGAGCACTTTTTCACGTGACAATGGAAACTCCGCTCCGTCCATGAGTGCATTTTAAGTATAAGATATGAAACAACAAAACTAAACCTCATTAAGGTGGCTCAATATAGTTTTTCAAGGTCAATACATCCCAAGTTTGAGCGTAAGCTACGTCGCCATAAGCAAAGATTTGGAAAAATTGACACCACAGTTGTATTAGATAAAGATGAAAATTTGTTATGATCAGGGTTGCAATGACATCGGAGTTGTCATAGCAACGAAATGACGCCATTACCTATTTTACTTGCAACAGTATTTCTAGGCACTGGGAACTGTTCTTCCAAAGTCGTTTACTGGAGCTTTTTCCCACAATAGCCGCCTCGATGTTCGTGAAGTTTAAGCGAAATCTGTAAGAGCGTTATCGAGATATTTTGGGAAGAAGTTTTTATGGTTAGAAATACGGTAAAAAATGGACAATCTTGATGTTCGACTGTTATCTGTACTAAAATAAACGAAGCGCTTTTGACATGCAATTTCACCTCATAGTAGTTTCAATCTTTTTAAAAACGTGTGTGAAAGATCATGGAGATACCTTCAGCCGATTGCTAGAAAGAAGGATTTGATTAGTATGTATCGAGGCGCTCTTATAGCGGTAATGTAAACATTTCGGTCTACTTTAACAAATTAGCGAATAATTGTTAAACCGCTCGATAATTTTTTTAGAAAATTTAAGACTCTTGAGATAAACTGTCCTTTTATGTGACCTCTTAGTTTCAAGATTATTGATATACTGTAAGGAAGTAAATAAGGGCTTGAATTCGATAATATTTTGTCAAGAGTTTTGTGTTTACAAGTGATAGCCTCTCATTATTCAGGGGTATTGTCTCCAAAATTCATATTTTCGTGCACAACAATAGCTAGCATTTTTGCATATGTCAAATGCATTGTTAGTTACTGCTGTTCACGTGAAAATGAAACCTTGAGACAATACCCCTGAATAATCAGACTCTCACTTGTAAAGACAAAATTTCCGACAAAATATTAGCGAATTGTAGCCCTTATTTTACTGCCTTACAATATATCAATAATCTTGAAACTAAGAGGTCACATAAAAGGACAGTTTATCTCAAGAGTCTTAAATTTTCTAAAAAAATTATCGAGCGGTTTAACAATTATTCGCTAATTTGTTAAAGTAGACCGAAATGTTTACATTACCGCTATAAGAGCGCCTCGATACATACTAATCAAATCCTTCTTTCTAGCAATCGGCTGAAGGTATCTCCATGATCTTTCACACACGTTTTTAAAAAGATTGAAACTACTATGAGGTGAAATTGCATGTCAAAAGCGCTTCGTTTATTTTAGTACAGATAACAGTCGAACATCAAGATTGTCCATTTTTTACCGTATTTCTAACCATAAAAACTTCTTCCCAAAATATCTCGATAACGCTCTTACAGATTTCGCTTAAACTTCACGAACATCGAGGCGGCTATTGTGGGAAAAAGCTCCAGTAAACGACTTTGGAAGAACAGTTCCCAGTGCCTAGAAATACTGTTGCAAGTAAAATAGGTAATGGCGTCATTTCGTTGCTATGACAACTCCGATGTCATTGCAACCCTGATCATAACAAATTTTCATCTTTATCTAATACAACTGTGGTGTCAATTTTTCCAAATCTTTGCTTATGGCGACGTAGCTTACGCTCAAACTTGGGATGTATTGACCTTGAAAAACTATATTGAGCCACCTTAATGAGGTTTAGTTTTGTTGTTTCATATCTTATACTTAAAATGCACTCATGGACGGAGCGGAGTTTCCATTGTCACGTGAAAAAGTGCTCTTGAATGCGTCTAAAAAATAAACCGGTCCGTGAAACATAGNTCTCTTCTCCCGCTTGGCTTAAAGGAATCGGAAACGGCCGCTACGTAGGCGTGGGCCGGCGCTCTGACGGCGGGCGGTGTCAGGTTACTGACCCAATGGTTTGTATAAACAGTTTTAATATGCTACTTGTTTTTAAAGCTTATTTCTAAAATTTACATTCTGCCCTTTTGAATTAGTTCTCAAACCAATTTAGGCCTTCGTCACAGTTGGAAGAGAGGAGAGTCAAATACCAAACCTTGAATTTCGCTACCTCAGCTTTTGTAAGAGTCGTAGATTATGCTTTTTTGAAATTATTTTTCTTCTTTCCTTTCTATGTTTTAAAATATATTACGTCAAAAACTCTTGAATACGAATAGTTATATTATTATAAAAGATTTGAAAGGAAGACGTACGACCTTCACCTAAGACGTGTAATATCATGATATTGAGGACAATCAGGATCATATTATTCGATTTTTGAACGGGTTTTTAGTGGTTCGTATCAACAGTCCCCCAGCGCAGCAGTCTACCGTTGGCCACGTGATTAGAACCTTAGGTATTTTTAGGTGGGCCTGATGTGTTCCGCTGAAACCCAGGAACCTGTATCTAGTTCAGGTACCCCGAAAGATAGTTAAGTTTAACTCAGGATTAAGCCAAATTTCAAGAAAGGTTTTCTTGTCTAAGAGTATGCCACTCGATGTTATAAAATACTATCAACTCTCGCCTTGCGGACACTCTGCCACTGAACAGACAAACCGATAACACGGACAGCAGCTAAATCCCAGGCAAAAGTGAATTACAGACGTTTGACTGAAATAAACTTCGGCTATTACGGACACTCGCTAACGAAAACACTGTTGTGTCTTTACACCGAGATTCAGTGATGATAACATTGAATGTTACTTTATACTAAGCAATGCATTGGAAGGTGAATACAAAACTTGGAACAAAATTTGTAATCCTGGATTAGTGCTAATTGGCCTTTCAGGAACCGGGACCTGGCGGCCTGGTAGTGGCGGGCGTAAAAAGGGAGCTGAGGTGGGGGACGGGGAGAAAAAGAGCAAAAGGGAAAAAGGAGAGGGAGCCGCTTTCCTCTCTTCCCAATTCCCCCTGCCCTTTACACTCCTTCCTTACCCCTTTCGACTCCTTTCAACGCGGGCTATAGTTCGGTTGAATTCTGCTCAGTACCCTATACTAGACTCACCATTTTTGTTGATAGCAGGAGGGAAATATGATAGCCCAACTATCAGCTCTTTCTTTGCTACCCTTAAGTGAGTTTCTGCAAGTTACTGTCTGTGGTACCTAAAACTGGCAATAGACCTTTTTTAATGAAGGTTCCAGGGGAATTTGCTTACACACGTGAATAAGAAGAAATTTTGAAAGAAACATTTCTCTGGAGTAATATCACACAAGCGAAATTGAGAAATTGGAAAGCTTGTGAGGTATCTTCCCGCTTTCACAAGCTAGACTATCGATATCTTTTTGTGTATAAATAACAAAAATTCCAACTCAAACGCTTTTTTCCACTTGGACGAGAATGTGTTACGTGCTATGTGTTGGTCGAACCTCAGGTCTTGCCTTGGGTCTTGCTAAGGGACTTGTCAGAAATTAGCAGGGGGGGAGGGGAGGTGGAAAACGGGGGAGGGTCAGAGTTTTTTGAGCTCTCCAAAAGGGAGGGTTATGAAAAAAAATGACAGGAAAAGAGGGAGGGTCACAAAACAATAAGCCACCACGATTGTGAAGGAATGCTTCAATATTATGTTTTACGAGAATACAAACCGTATATGAAAATCATGACATGCAATTCTGATTTCTGACATACTGATCATTATTTTCCTTGTGTAGAAGGGCAACTTCTCCTTCTTGATTGTGGTTGATAAGGTTTTAATGTACCCATTTCTATAACATGCTGTTTTGTGACATGTCCCTGTTTGGAGCATCACTTGAAGTGATCTCCACTAAAAAAACATTCAAAAGTCTCACTTTTTTTTTGCGAAAATTCTTCTTCTTTGATTCTTATAGTTGTGAAAGATAGCCTGAATTTTATCCGATTACTTCGAGTAGTTATTACTCCCTCAGTTGTTGAGAGGAGGAAACGACTCGAAGCAATCGGATGAATTTCAGGCTACGTGAAAGAGGAACTGTCATGATCCCATTAAACCCAAAACTTTCTTTTGTCCTGTTTGCCAACAGCGGAAACACTTGCATGTCCATCATAGGTCAGTTTTAGTACAAGTTTGCTTTTTTGAAAGTGCTCAATTATTTTTCTTGTACCACTGCATAAGAATTCGGACTCAGGGGAGGGTCCTAGAATTTTAGGATGCTTTCCAGGAGAGGGTTGGAACATTTTAATCCCATACCTAGGGAGGGTCATTTTCCTTTTTATCGCTTAACTGAAAATCTCCACCTCCCCTCCCCCCTGCTAATTTCTGACAAGTCCCTAAAGGAACTTTCCCCGCACGGGGTTTTTCGTTTCCCCAGCCTCCCGACGACACAAAGAGGCCTCTGCGGGGGAGAGAGCGAGGAATGTTAGAGGAGGCTGCGATCTTGGACAAAATAGATGGGAAATTTATATTCCACCTCTCCTCTAAAATGGTGCCCTTTAACTTAAGCTTTCGCGCGGCTTCATCCTAAAATTTTTTGGGTGGAGGGGAGGGGGGGGTGCTGTTCCATTTTCTTCTTTCTGTTGTCCAAGATTGGGGACGTTTCGCGCGTTCCTCTATGGGGCGCCGTATTGGACATTATTGCGATGTGTCAAATAAAATGCTAAACGTCAAAAGTACATGCCAAACTTTTTATTTCATATGCTAAACGTCAAAAATACATGCCAAACTTTTTATTTCATATGGTAAGTTTGTTGGAACCATAGCAAACTCCGAAAATTCATTCCGAACTCACAACTCCGTTACCTTTTTGCCACCAAGACATTCTAAACTGCATTCCGTGTGCTAAACTTTATTTCGCGTGCTAAACTTCATTTCGTATGGTATGATGCATCGCGCGCCT